GGTTCTCCATGGCGATTCCTCCCCGACGATCCTGTTCAGTTCCGAGACATTCCCATACCGTGAGTCGGTCCGTCGCCCCTCTCGTGATTCTATTTTGCAGGTGACGGGCCAAAAATCCCTGACGATCCTTGAGCGACCTCGTCGCCACTGCCATTACCACCGCTTTTCTACCACCGTCGGTCGTCCCGTGATCCGCAAACCCAATCCGGCATTAAGCTCGAATTTGGAAGTTATCCGTAAATTAGGTAAGAAACTTTATCCGATATCATTTCAAATATTTAAATTCCTAATTGGAGTGATTTTGTTGTCTTTGGTTGGTTAGTAGATATATTTGAATGATGCATGGCATATTCGCAAGATTCCAAAAAATACACTAAGTTAGGAAATTCCTAACTTAACAACGTATCGAGACGACTATCCGATCTCAATCATGAGATACGATACTCGGTGGCACGGAAAATCTCTATCTTATCCATAACCATTTGGATACGATAATAGATTTTATTTTGTTCTCAAATTCAAACGACTAGCCTTCCATCAATATCCATAACCACATGGATATGATCGTCGGTTTATATCGTTTCCTTAATTCAAAGATAGTAAAACAAATCTTGCGGATTGCGTGAATTGTTTGAATGCGGTTGTAATCTTTGTTTAATTGTTTTTTTTAATAAAGAAAATCCAAAAATATGTTAGTTAGGATTTAAATTAGAGGTTTTGCATGTGTAGGGAACCCTAAATGTATCTAGAAGATAGGATAATTATTTAATTTAAATTAGTACTTGAGATAATTTATTTCCTAGTTTAAATTAGGTATTATTCTAATCCTAATAGATTATTTAGGTTATTTTTAGATTCCGAATTTCCATGAAAATTCCAAAAAGAATGAGTTACTTTAGGATAGATTAGGATAGATTGCATTATTAACTTGAGTAACTTTTAATTTCGAATTTTAATAAAAAAATATCAAAAAAAAAGAAGTTGTTAAATTGCATGTTATTTTAGGCATTTTTTTATTCTGAATTTCATTGGAAAAATACCAAAAATAAATCATTTGTCCGTCACTAGAATTAGATCACGTCGACGCATGACATATAGTTCGCATGCTAGGTTGCATTAATCGCATGTCATTTTTGCACGTCATTGCATATAGGTTAGTTTGCATTTTAATAAAGCGCAAACCCTAAAAAACACCTCGAGTGCATTATTTTGTTAATTAGAAATCATATTAGGATTGTCTGTGTGATTTTTTACTAATAATGCAGATGCTTGCGTTGCATTAAAGTACGTCATTCTCCTAATCTTGCAATCTATTTATTGCTTTCTTGGGTGTCAAATTGGTGGTTTGCGCGCCCGCATGAACACCTCGCATGTTAGTGATTAGGTAATAAAATTGATCCAGACTGCCTGCATAAATATTTTTGAAAAGAAAAGGTACCGAAAGGGCGTTAGACTAGATCTAGCGTAACCAAGTCCCCGAGCTTAGAATCTCTGGTTCGTAGGAATAAAACATATCTCCCTATGTTTTATTTAGGTTTCTAATCAACCTACCACAAATACATTAGTGGCGACTCCAAGCATGAAAACTTTTGCATGTTAAAAACTTAAACCGTAAGTTGCGAATTGGTAGGGCTTGGGAGGGCCCGAGTTAGGCTTAGTCTTAATAATCCATTAGCTTAAGAAATTTAGGTCGCGACAAGTGTTCTTCATGAAAGTTGTAGATTACATCTTAAACTATAACATATAAAGTTTCCATGATTTTTAGATCTCATTGAACCTGTGATATGTCTATCTTTCTGTCCGTTTGAGTTCTGGAGTTAAATTACTGTTTTCAGGTTTGTCCGAATTGTTGGGAATTGTAGAAGCCAAACTGGGTTTCGAGTTCTTCATGAGAAATGTTCCTCTAGGTCTCGTCTATGTTGTGTTAAAATTTCGTAATTTTGAAGCTGATTTACTTAGGTAATGATAGCGATTTCTGAAGGCGTGCAAATTGCCTTTATGGGGCAATTTTGGGATTCTGGATGAAATTCCTTTTTTTAACTTGTCTTTTAAGATTTGTATTGCCGACTAATGATTTTTATACCATTTATATGATTTATAAGTGGATGCAGGTTGGTTAGTTCTCTGAACTCAAGTTGTTTCCTTAGCATTAGCAAAGTGAATGATATTTTAAATTGAATTATTGAATTGCTGCACCATGAGTGTGACTGTTCCGTCAATCCCCCTGACGTCAATACCCTAGGAGTTGGGATGCCTGGAGGGGTAATTGTGTTCCTCCATATGCCTGGGGGTAACTGGGTCCCATATGACCTCATGATCTAGGAGGGGTGCGAGATACCTGAGGGGGTAACTGGGTTCCCTCGGATGCCTGGGGGTGTAACACGGTTCCCCATATGTCCTCGCGATGCTGTGTGGGTGCGAGATGCCTGGGGCGGGGTAACGGGGTTCCTTGGAAGATGGTGCCAGCTAAGTTTTGAATCAAAAGTGATTATTAGTATTGCTACATTTCACTTGCGTTATTGGTTTACAGACCCTAAGATGTCTTCCTTTTTATACCAACTTACTAGTTTGGTTTTGAAGAAGGTTCTTCGACAAGTTGATTTTAAAAATGATTTCATATATTTTATATTTGGAGTTTTCCTTGCATGTGCAGTGATAGGTTTATATTGTATAGACTGGTAAACATTTTACTTGCTCAGTTTATGCTCATTGGTTGTCAACTGTCCTCTTTCAGATTAGTAGTCATGCTGATTCTGCCTGCCTCCACCTCGATTAGCTATGGTGTCCCTGTCGATTTCTCCAATCATATTACTGAGTTTGTGGATCTTGATTTCCCGAAGGTTGTTTTTGTGAAGTGCATTTGCGTTCTGATCGTAGACATAGGATCCCCAGGGGGTCCAGTGCTCTTGGGTTTCGTAGCAATGTACACCCGAGTTGGAGGGCGACTGGTGGGACCTCTCCCACATTCGGGAGATTACGAAGCTGACGATGGTAGTAGCGGGGTAGAGTGAGACGGGGACTGGAGGATGGTGGAGTAGCATTTTTGGAGACCAGGCAGTGATTTTTGGACATACTATGGATGATGGACAGGTGACATTGTATATATGTGCTTACAGGTTGGGAGGATATGACTGATGGAGCTTTTAGTGTAGCCAGGGACAGCAGGACCCTTTTTGTTCCCCAATGTACCCCGACCTATGTCGCCTAAATTCATAAATAAGAAATGAAAATGAGATTGTCTGGTTCATATCTCCTGCGTGTGTTCCTTGAATTTTATATGTCATGGGTTGTTCTTTGACCATACACGCTTCTGCATGCATAAAAAGTGAAAGAATACATTAACTGCGTTAGAGATGACGTACTGGGGACGCCACATTCGACCTCGCAGCTTCTGGCGAGGGCTCAAACCTCGTCAGATGCTAGGCAAGACACGACCTCGCCGGATTTGGCGAGATGGGGCCTCACCCATGGCCTGGCGAGGTTGAGCCTCACCCATGGCCGGCGAGGCTCAACCCTCACCAGATCCGACGAGGTCGTGTCTCGCCCAACCGCTGGCAAGGCTAAGCCTCCCCAGCGATTGCGGGGTCATGGCTTTCGACCTTGTCAGATGGCCGCAAGGGTAGCCTCACGCTGGGTTAGGCGAGGCTCGCCCTCGTGGCCTCTGGCGAGGGCTCGAGCCTCGCCGAGATTATGCCTCACCTAGCCACTAGCAAAGCTCGAGCTGGCAAGGCTCGAGCCCTCGCCTAGCCTTGCCAGAGGCCGCAAGGTTGCAGCCTTCGACCTTGCGGCCACCGGCGAGGGCGAGGGACCTCGCCGACACTAGCCTTCAACCAGTCACCTGAAGAAGAAAGGGAAAGAAAAAAAAATGAAAAAGAAAGAAAAGAAAATAATTTTTTTAAAAAAATAAATAAAATGCGAAAAATATTATTAAAAGTTATCACATCATCGCCGGCATCCACGTCAGCAGTATCCAGCCAAAATTATACGAAATGATTGAATTGACATAAAGACAAAAGGTTTAGGACTGAATTCACACCAAAAGAAATTTCGGATTAAATTGACACTAATACAATTAATTTAAGACTTTTATGACAATTTTCCTTCAAAATCTCTATCCATTTTAATTGCATTTCTATACCCCATCCCGAAAGGGGAGGGTGGTACAATCATATATGCTTAGAACGGTCTTGAGCTAAAGAGGCGACACTGAAGATGACATCATCGAGGGAAACACTTGTAAGAAAGATGAGTACTTGCACGTTACTTCCTTGAACAATGAACTTTCGTTGTAGTCATTGCGCTTTCCTTTTGGATAAACAATAATTATTACTTCAAATTGGACTAACTCATCTTCTTGACCAAAATAATCTCTGATAATTTTTGTTTAGCATCATCACTTATGCAATCTTTCTATTTTCTTTCAACTTCATTAACCATGTAATAGGGATTATATTGATAGAAGAAAAATGAGCAAACCATTTTCAGGTAACATTTAACAACTAAACAGACGGAAAAACTGGCAATTGCCAATAAAAATAAAAATTCTAAAAGGTAATCCGTAATTTTCCAAAGATCGGGGGCCATTGGGCAACGGTGACAAAGTTGGAGGAGTTCATCAGTAACATTTGAAAGTTCAAAAGTTTTTGCAATTTTGAGGTATTATATTAATAAGTGTCCTTTGATGAAAGCACCTGGCAATTCTTTAAGACAATTTCCTAGATTAATGGGGCCAACGTGGGAACTGAGCAACATGCTACCAATCACTATCATGGATTAAGACAGGCATTATGCAAGTCTCATTTATGGACACTTGTAATTCATAAACACGTCCGTCGTCCATGTTACTGTTCATATTTCCGCTGATGAGGGTCTAAAGTTGGTCACACGTCCATCCAAAACTATCAAACACGCGTTAATTCCCCCCCTTTAAATACAAACCTTAAGCAAGCATATTCTCCAAACAAACACTAATCTCTCTCTCTCTCCCTCTCTCATATAGAATGGGAAACTGTGCAGCTTCTCAAAACACAAGAAATGGTGGCCTTGCCATGACCACCCATCACCATAACTGGTCATCATCATCTCCCCCATCCACGCTCAAGGTCATTCACATGGACGGGAGACTGCAAGAGTTCACTCAAGACATCAAGGCTTCTCACCTCCTCTCCCAGAACCCTAACTGCTTCCTCTGCAGCTCAGACTCCATGTTCATCGACTCCATAGTCCCTCAAATCCACGAAGAAGAAGACATCTGTTTGGGCCAACTCTATTTCCTCTTGCCTCTCTCTATGTCCCGAGTCCCGCTCTCTTTCCGAGAGCTGTGCATGCTCGCCATCAAGGCCAGTGCCGTGCTCGAGAGCAGCTCGAGTTTGAGGAGAAGGAAGGACAGAGTTTCGTCAGGGGCAGGTCGTCGGAGATGAGGTCAAGCTCCGACCGGGTTCGACGCAATGAGATTGGACTTGGCTTAGAGCGGCTGAAAGATTGAGTTGTGAAAGTTCAGCCTATGAGATGAAGCGAGAACCGAATAGATGACAGGAGGAAGAGCTTGAGCAAAATGCTATAAGCTCTTTTGTTTTGCTTTGTTTTTTGTTTTGTTTTTTGAGCTACTTCTTTCGGTTGTCCTAAAATTATCAAGTCTTTTTAGTGAAACTTGAATTACGTCTCAATGTTTCAGCCCAACTACAATTACTTCTATTATTATCATCATCATCATCATGGTCATCATCATCCTCGTCATTATTATTATGTCACAATCATCACAGTTATCATCAGAATCATTCTTGGACGGGAAAGAAAAAAACGTTGCATGTATGAAAAGAAGAAAAAAAATACTAAACCTTCTATGCTATATAGCCCATGATAAGAAATGGGGGTACAAAAAGGTTCGAAAAAATATATGATTTGATCCATAATAGAGGGAATCAAAAAAAAAAAAAACTTTCTTTCTCAGTCCATTCACGTGGAGAATTACTTTTTACTTTAGCTAACTATAACCCAGGAGACCACTTGTGCTATGATAATTGAATATTAAACTCTTGTCCAATTAAGTTTAAAGTGCGAAAATATGATTTGACAATCGTAATATTAGCTATTAAATATTTATGTACAGTTAAAACTGTAAACATTCAAGAAGAGTTATTTTATAAACCTACTTGCGGATGATATTAGATAGAGAGCTGTGCTGTTTTCTTAACTTTGAGCTATCTTATTTGTCACTCGAGTCCAAAAGTCTCACGTATAATTTAAGTGAAATATCACCTCACATTAAGTGGCGATTTTCAGGCAATACTATTAAAAATCACAAACTAGTATGCCGTAACATATTTACATCAAATTAATTTTCATCTAATGAAAAAATCAAACCGGTACCCTCGACCCAAATCTACCTTCCGTTTCCATACAATATTCTATTAAAATGCATACGTGTCAATATACGTGTATTTTCCATGTCGGATATGTCATTCTTTACATGACCGTCTTGCAGTTGTCAATCCATTCAGATTTGGCTTTCTCCTCATATGCACTTTAAGAGATGGCATATTTGGGTCAGTAGTACCGGTTTGAGATTTTTTGCGGAATGAAAATTACTAAAGGTGAATGAATCATGGGATACAAGTTTAAGATTTTTTGTGAGATGAAAATTAATTTTGGGGTGCCGGTTTGGAATTTGTTATGGTATTGGTCCAAACATATATATCAATTATTTTTCAGCTTTTTATGATTGTTTTTTCACTTTAAACGAAACAAAGTCAAGCGCGATAAGCTTTGGTCCAAGGCATGCTAGGCTGAGAAATTCCTTAGGTTTTTCGTTGCTGGGTGCTTTTAGACCTTTCTCTTTTTGGCCGGAAATGCTTCTACACCTAAATGATGTCTGTCCACGCGGTCTTTATAAGTTTGGTACCGTAGATTCAATGTCGTGTGGGACTCTATACCTAAATCTAGCATTTTGGTATTAGTAAAAGCTCAAGTAGAGGGCAGCGAGGGGCACGAGGAAGTAATTAAAATGATTGTTTGGCTGCCTTAAAGAATGCAAAAAGACATATCTAGATCCTAATATTAATTTAATGGGGACTTTGGTGATCGCCGGCCATAAAATTCTAAACCTTTAGGTCGGTTCATTACACAAATTTTGAACATGAATTTTACAAAGAAGTGTGGATTTTATGTTAAGGCAATTGGGTTTTGCGAGGGACCGCGGCTAGGCTAACAGTCACTGTTATTCTTGACAATAGCGGAGAATGTCCAGCTACATATCCCAAATTTAGCAAGAGAGGCAACCGAGAGTTCAACTATGGTCCTTTTCATCTTATTTTAGCCAATTTTTTCTGCCTAATAATTTAGCTTGGATTACATGCAAATAACTTTGTAACTCAAACTTTTATTAGAATGTCCAATCCAAAAGTTTAAACTAATAGGTGAAGGAAAATTGCATGTGTAGAAAGAGCACATAAGTCCCGTAGGCAAACGATGTGTGACACTTTTAACATTTCCACTCATGTGCGGGCTATTATCACGACTAATACGTGGAATTTGATGAACAGGGTGCCACACGCGTGTAATAAACTAGGATAGAACCTAGCTCTAATGTTATGTTAGAACATCCAATCCAGAATATACACAATCAAAGGGAGATACAGATAATCTCATAGGTATGTGCACAATCACAAGAGATATGGAGAATCAAGAGAACTATCCTAATTAACTCTATCAACTTTAAACCAAAAAACAAAACAAAAAACAAAATTAGACATATCTCTTACAGATAGCGCTATTATAAAAAATGAAAAGTAAAACATAAATTACGTGCCTATTTTATGTCAATCAAATAGTTCTCATTATGACAATAATATATATAGATGAAATTTACGCAGAATTTTTTTTCAGTAGAAATGTGCTATAACTACTGGAGGCAATTCTTATTCATGGTTCCACAGTGTTAAGTTAATTTCACAATTAGGTAGGCCAATTAAAGCATACCTATCGTAATTGATCATGTAGGAATGGCAAATTAAAATAGAACACGTTGATTATCTGGTAAATAATGCGGCATAATCCACATGCCTTATCTCATTAAATAATACATGTGGGTCTTTTCAACTAGTGAGTGGTCCGCTACTCATGACATGTTTGATATAATATTAAACTCGTATATAGTCTCCAAACCAAAAGTTATATAATATATAAGAATATTACATAAAATTCCATGGAGTTGGGTACAGGTGAAAACGGGACATGCTAAATCTTATGCATATTGTAGAATTTTAGCGTGTTGTCTGTCAAATATTATTAGAAAAGAAACTTGTTTTTGAAATTTTCAAATAAATAATAGAGTGAAAAACATCACATATAAATTGCTTACAACAATTCCCGCATAGAAAAAATTACCTAATCAGTTCTAAACTTATCGTATGAATACCAATCCAAATTTAAATTTTTCAATTTCGTCAAGTTGGTTTAAACCTTTGCGTGATATTTCAAGATAGTCATTCTGGTTAATTTTGTTCAGAGTCACTATCGTAGCGATCTGCTCATCAATGGCTGTCTTATGCGATTTTCGATAAAAATTAGTCGAAATAACTATATTGAAATTTCGTATGGTGATTTAGGATTAAATTGGAAAAATTGAAAAATTTAAGACTCCATTAACATCCATACAGTATATTTAGGGTTGATTGGACAAGTAGCCTCAAGTTTGTTGACAGGTAGTAAGGAAAAGAAATCGAATAAAAGAATTTTTCAGAGAGAGATTACTCCCAATAATCGTAGTCGTACCAGCAATATATGGCCTACTTTTTAAAGAAGGCAAAGACTTCGACCATGACCAGATCGAGGGTCTTCTTATTCTTATCCGATCCACTTTTAGAATACACGTTAGACTAAGTCAAAAAGTTTCCGCACATGTCTTAGGATAAGCAGACCACGAATCATAAAACTTGTCACAAAAATTTAATTAATTTTTAAATTTTTTAAAAAGTGTAATTAAATTTTAAAGTCTATAAAATTAATAAAATCAAGTCTTTTCATTAACTCCGTTTAATATGACTAGGGAAAAAAGTTTCTATGATTTTTTATTATTTTTTTCTCTTTTACATGGCGCCGACATGCTAAGACATGAAGGATTAGGCTAAATCGACATCACTTAGAGCAAATCTCATTTTCTGACCCAAAATTTACTTAATTAGATTAAAAAGATAAGCTAAATTTAAAATAAATAAATAAAAAAAGGAGGAAGGAAGGTAAACCAAGCGAGGGATTGGAGGGCCCACATCGTTGCCACCCCACCATCGCCGAAAAGGGCCAGCAATGGTGGGACGATGGCTGGTAGTGGCCGGCCGCCCTCAGAGACCGATGGTAGGCCCTTGCTTGACTTTCCTTCCTTCTTTTTTTTTTTTTTTTTTTTTCTAATTTAGCTTTTATTTTTTTACTCTAATTCAAATAAAATTTGGGTTAAAATTGGACCAAAACGGCATTGATTTAGCTTTATCCTTCTTGTTTTAGTCACGCCAGCACCACATAAAAAAGAGAAAAAATAATAAAAAAAACGAACTCAATAATCTTCGTTAACCAAGTTAAACGGAATTAACGGAAGGTTTTGATTGCATCAATTTAACAAGTTTTAGGATTTGATTGCACTTTTCAAAAATTTTAGTCCTCAACAATATTCGTGACAAGTCTTAGGGCTTCCGGTGTGCTCATCCCTATATTCTAAGTTCCCTCAGCAGTACTACGTAAGAATTGTGCACGTCATCAAAGTCTAGATTTTCAAAGTTGGTCATGCATGGGTTGCTTCCTGGGAATTGCGCTGCAAAGACCTTCTAGCAACCTTTGAGCGTCAAAAGGAAAAGACTTGGGGATGTGGGTCTTTGTCAGGCCGTCCACTGTCGCTCTGTATCCTGTTCTTCGTTTCATTGTCCATGAGAATCCGAGTAAACTACATCTTTCTTTGCTTTTTTGGGCCACGCCGAGTAATAAAGTCGTTCATTCGTCAATCCAAAACTCTCAAACACGCCTTCAGATAGAATAACCCTCCTCAGTGGAGTTCTCCCCCTATCCCCATGGTGATAGTTGACTTCCAAGCCCTAACTACCTTCAGCCCCCTCTTCAATCCATCTTAGATCTCCTTTTTGCCCGTAAGAAATTTCCCACAACCCCGTAATCCCACTCCTCCTCTCCGTCTCACCCCAGCAAAGTGTGCCCTAACCAAAACCTCACCAATCGAAGTCAAGGGTGCAGCTTGGCGCGTGAAGTCCTCCACCTTCTTAAGCATGCCCCCGCGGTGATGGAAGGTAACTCCCCCTCCTAGTGTAAGGGAGCAAATTCGGGCCTCTCCACCTTTCGCTTCATTCGTCTGCAAACTGGGAAAAACCACCGATGCTTTGATTTCGTGGAGCAAATAGAAATACTCCAATGCCTACAACCA